TTTTTTTTTTTTGGTCACCATTTTTCACTTTTGTATATCTTAGTTCTCCATTTTCTCAGTCCTTCTTTTTAGAACCTTATAATCACTATTTATTTATTTATTTATTTATTTATTTATTTTGTAACACCAGGAATCAAACTCTTGACCTTACTCTTGCCAGGCAGATGTTGTGTCCCTGAGCTAGATACCCAATCCTTGTCATCTTTTTAATCAGTAATAGTTACAATATTAGCTATAATTCTTTAGAGTTGACTTCCACACCTATTTCCCTCGCACAAACCTGTGAAATTGATGTCATTGTTTCTGGATTTTTTCTTTTTCCACACAAGAAAGCAAAGACTGAGGAAAATCACAGTAGCTTGCTGAAATTCACCCAGCTAGTAAGTTTTGGGTAGTGCTACTTTTATTTTTAAATTTTTATTTAAATGACAAAGTTTGTGCCAGTTCCTTCCAGAATAAGTAAGGGATTGATAAGCAGTTAATCCAGAGATGGAAATAAAACTCCAGTTTCTTTCTCCAGTCTAATGTTCTTTTTGCTGCATCACAGGGCCTATGTTTTATTCAACTTTGTGATGAGAGAAAGGATAAAGGAGGCCCTTTAAGTTCTCCTCCATTACTAACAAAAAAAAAAAAAGAACATGTTTCCTTTGGCCTGAGCTGGGCCATGGTGATTGAGGCAACTTCCCTTCCTCAGGAGCCAGATGGGGGGCTGGTGGTGCTGAGTGGAGGGGGAACCTCTGGCCGGATGGCATTCCTCATGTCGGTGAGTACCCTGACTCCATCTTGCTTGGTTCCCTTCTGAGGATGTGCCCCAAGACCATAAGGCTGATCATAGTTAAGTTTCTAAGTGGGCCCCTCAGACTTGGGCTCCATGCCTCATTCTCTTTCTCTTTTCACCACAGAGCCACACTTCTCCTGACCCCACCAGGACCCCACAAGTCTATTGCTAATGTCTTTATGTCTCACACATCCCTAATGAATCATCTCCATAGAGCATCTTTAGAGCAGATTCCAAGTAGGGCTGCGTTAAGTGCTAGCCTAAGAGAATCACTCTGTATCTTCTATCTGCTAGGAGTCGAAAAATCCAAGTTAATTGTTTCTTCATTCTCATTATCTCTTTACCTCCTTTCCCCCTTGACACAGGTCTCCTTTAACCAGCTAATGAAAGGTTTAGGACAAAAACCTCTTTATACCTATCTCATTGCAGGCGGTGACAGGTAAGTCAACTTGGCCTGGGAACATTTTGTTTCTCTTGAGTATGTGTTTTTCAGAAAGTGAATTAGAATGACTTTAAACAAGTATTTTGTCCAAAATATCTCAGTACCCTTACATCTGACCCACTCCACTGCCCGACTGGCCCTTGTACAGATTGAACTCAGGTTCTTGCGCTAGCAAGGGAAGCGCTTATTCTACTGAGCCATCTCTCCGGCCCCCTTGTAGGTATTTGAGCTTTTCTATTCTGCAGAGCATCTAGCATAGTGTCCAACATAACAGTGGGGCTCATTCAGTGATAGTTTTCCTTCATTCCCTTTCCTCTGCGTGGCCTTTTCTAATAAGCCATAGGCTTCTGCTTTGCAGTTAATGTCCTTGACAATTGAATCTGCCTTCTTAGGTCTGTGGTGGCCTCAAGGGAGGGAACAGAAGATAGTGCCCTGCATGGAATTGAGGAGCTGAAGAAAGTATGACTTTTCACTAAAATTCAACCACAGACCTCTGTTTGCTCCTTCTCATGGGGCCATAAAAGCCCCAACACTTAGCCAAACTTTGCCCTCTCCCCTGGCCCTGATCCTTGATATCTTCCCACAATAGGTCTGTATCCTGGAGTCTTCCCCTCTGTACTGTTTGCCCATCCTCTTCTCCTAGGTGGCTGCTGGAAAGAAGAGGGTAATCGTCATTGGCATCTCTGTGGGCCTCTCTGTAAGTGTGAAGATAGGCTGAGTGGATCAACTTTATAGGGAGGAAGGGGATGGGAAAGGACTAGTACAGAAGATTGGTGAGGTGTGTGCTAGAAAACACTTGCACAAGGACTTTTCATTTTTGGCTCATTTGGATCCAGTTGTGTGGGTGTGAGAATAGTGACAAGGGGTCCTTTCTCAGACTGTGTAGCAATCCATCAACAATCAAGATAGACTTGGGGGGGCCAGGGAGATGGCTCAGTGGAATAAACACTTCCCTGGCAAGCGCAAGGGCCTGAGTTCAATCCCTGGTTCTGCAAGAGATAGACTAGTCCAGGGGTCAGCAAATTACACTGACAACCAATCTAGCCAGCTGCCTGTTTTTGTAAATAAAGTTTTACTACCATGGAGCCATTGTGTTTCCATATATGATCTATGGCATTTTGTGTCACGACTCTAGGAATGATAGTTGGACAGAGGTCAAAGAGCCCACAAAATCTAGAATTCTCTGGCTCTTTTTTTTTTTTCAGGGAAACAGGTCAGATTTATTTTTTTTATTTTTTCCATAATTTTATTGATAAACAAATAGCAATGAGACAGTTTCAAATCAAATTGGTAGGACAGTTTCAATAATTAACACATTGCATATATTCTTCCTAGTGGTTAATTGCTGTACAAGATGCGGACATGATATCCTATTTACAAACACCATTAGAACAAATCACTCTATTCATTAAGAGAATGTAACTATATATCTATCCTAACCACTTTGAATACACAGATACAAAATGGACATTCATCTGTATCCCCTTTTTTTGTTAAGTTCCGTTATTTGAATATTATAGGTGTGTTAACTCAGCAAAATATTCTAAAAGAGTCCAGTAGCCCATAATAGTATTGGGTCTTCCGCTTGACTGGCAATGTCAGAAATTGTTGACCTGAGTCCCCTACAGCTCAACATAACAGCATGCCTTTACTTTTTATATTTTGTTTTTTTACTTTTCTGCTGGATGGTTAAGACCAAGGTAAAGCAGGACCTATGCAACAAGAGTTGTAGCTTTTGGGTCTGATAAGGTCAGTGAAATCCTCTCAGGATTTATCCTGAGATCCTGTACCTCAGATTGTAGATCCTTTGTCAGTGTCAGCCATATGGATGAGTCATGGCCATTGCTTGGCCAATGTGCTCTCTGTGAAAGCCTGAGAGAATGTTTTCTCTCCATGTGACTCTCCTTAGGCACATTCTACATCATCTATTACTTTCCTCTTTGGCCCCATATCTCTGGCTCTTAATAAAAAAAGCTGTCCCCTAGACTAGCCCTTTGCCACCTAACTGGCAGCAGCAGCAGCAGCATCTGGGACTTGTTAGAAAAAGCAGGATCTCAGACCCCACCCCAAATGCCCTGAATCTGAATTTGAACAAGATTCCCAGGGGGTTTTGAGCAGCACCAGGCTAGGTGACTCTGAGTTTCCTGTTAACCCTGGCAAGTCTCAGATTCTAAGAATCCATGAGCAGAAACCCAAATTCTAGCTTGCAGGAGCAAGAGGCGCACAAGGAGAGCAGCATGCTGAACAGTTTAGTTCACTAATTTCTAACCTTTATCATGTAGATTACCTGAGAAGCTTGATAAAAATGTAGCTTCCTTGGTGTACTTGTTAAAAATGTGCTCCTGCTTCAACTTTGGATCCAATGGGTCTTTACTGGGACTGGGAATTTCTGACAAGAATTCTGGGGGATTCTGATGCCTGTGGGCCTTGGGCAATGCTCACAGTAACTCCTTTGTCATATTCTCCTGTCTCATTGCCATCAGGCACCCTTTGTGGCAGGCCAGATGGACTACTGCATGGACAACACAGCTGTCTTCTTGCCGGTCCTAGTTGGCTTCAATCCCGTGAGCATGGCTAGGTGAGCCTTCTGTAGGAACTGGTCACCCAGGGCTGAGGACACATCTGATAAATAGAATCACAAAAGGGACAAGTGGATAAAGTCTTGTTCACCAGATCTCAGAATGTTGAAGTAAATATGGGTCCCCCTAAGCTTTGGAGGTATTTTTGTTTGGTAGGTTGATTTATTCTTGTTTCAGAAATCATTGAAGGCTACATAAAATACGAGGAAGCATAAATTCAGAACAGGGACTTAAGAGGCAAGGAAAAGAAGTAATAGTGGGAAAAAACTGGGGTCAGGAAAATGTACACCACAGAGATCTGTGCTTTTATTTGGGGCAAGCCCGAACATCTTCTCAAGGTAATAGCAGTGGTGCTAAGTGACCACCCCCTTCTCTTTGCCCACCTTCCTTATTTTCATGCCCACTCTCCTCATCATTTCTGGTATTCCTTGGTTTCCTTTTGACTATTATAATCTAGCCCGCACTTACTTCCCTGTGCTAACAAATCTCCTCGCTCTTATTCTCTGTCTAAATTCCCACTTTGTCTGATCTCAGAAAAAGTCAACATATATCTTAGTTAATTTTCTTGTTGCTGAGACAAATTACCTGACACTCAAGAGAGGAAATGTTTATTTATTTCATAGTTTTTAGAGGTTTCAGTTCATAATCAGCTGGCTCCTAGGCAAGACAAGACAACATGGTGAATAAGGATTGCAAAGGAGAGACAAATTATAGTGGGCAGAAAGTAGCAAAGCAACCAAGCGAGGAAAGACTTTGTATTTTATCCAGGCTACTTAGGGTGATTGGCACTCACACCCTTAATCCTAGTGCCACTGATCCTAGCATTGCACCATGAATCAGTCACACACTCTAGAGTCTGCCACCTCAAAGAAAGCTGCACCTATGACGGCATGAGGCCTTGGGGGGACATCTAGACATAAGCCATAACAACATATTAGACCAATAGTGTGCAGCTGTGTGTGAGTTGCTGGGGAAGTGTTAAAAAGTAAAAGAAGGAAGATCCAGGCGTGGTGGTACACACCTATGTTCCTAGCACTCTTCGAGGCTAAGGCAGAAAAGTCATAAATTTGTGCCCGACCAGGCAATCGAGCTACTTAGTGAGACCTTGTCTTAGCATACAAAGTAAAAAGGGCTGGGGGTATAGCTCAGTGGAAAGGCCCTGAGTTTAATCTGTTTTATTTTTATTTTTTATTTTATTTTGAGACAGGGTCTCACTATGCAGTTCAGACTGGCTTTGAGTTCACTTTGTGGGCCAGACTGGCCTTGAACTCACAATGATCCTTCTGCCTCAGCCTCCCAAGTGCTGGGATTCCAGGTGTGCGCCCCCACGCCCAGCTCCTGAGTTTAATCTGGAGGAGAAAAAAAAAAAAAAAAAAAGAAAGAAAGAAAAAAAGAAGATGAAAGATAGTCCCTGTTTTAGAGGTCTGAGTTTTTTCATTTGGGGTATAAGCCTGAAATCATCATTGGAAATTCCAATGTGCAGCCAGTTTGGGTGGCTCTGCTAAATAAACCACTGGGTGGACCAGTGGTGCTAAGTGACCACTTATTTCTCTTTGTCCGCCTTCCTTATTTTCATGCCCACTCTCCTCATCATTTCTGGTACTCCTTGGTTTCCTTTTGGCCATTGGAATCTAGCCAAAAGGAAACCATTGACTGTCACTGAAAGAACTGTAGCAAAGGCTGTCAGTTAGGTTAGGGCAGCCTTGTGTATTTATTTAGGGTTGATCTCAGGGAAGTAGATGAGGTGGGTTCTTTCTAAGGTGTTCTTAGTTCCAGCCTCTAGGCATATAATATAATTCACATGAAGGTGTAAATGAGTCTGAGACACTCCTAACCCTGATCACTTTGCATGGGGGACTCTCCTTCACCAAAAATATATTTGCTGCAGTGGATGCTAATTTGAGGCCCCATGACTAAGTGGAATGAAGAATTTCAAACAATGTAGGCGTGGAGATATTCCAGTTGTTCCTTAAATCAGTGGCTCCCAAAGATTTAGCTCTGGCTGATCTTCAGAATCATCAGGGAATCTTTTAAAGATACAGAGTTTTGGGTTTCCTCCCAGAGCTGCTGGATCTAATTCTCAGGGTGGATTGCTGTCCACAGTGGGTACTTACTAAAACCATGACAGCTACAGAACTTCCCACATGATTTTAGTGTCCAGCCAAACCTGAGAAATTTGATCTTAAATATAGACACTGTCTCCCCTTTCAGTATCTTCTAGCCTAGGTCTCTAGAAAGTTTTAGGAGTAGTTTCAAGGCAGGTGTGGTGGCACACACCTGTAATCCCAACACTTGGGAAGCTAAAGAAAAGGAGGATTGTCACAAGTTCAAGCACAGCTTGGTCTACATAGTGAGTTAGAGGCCAGCCTGTGCCAAAAAATAACAAACAAAGAAACGGAAACAGTTTGAGAACAATGACAGGAGATAATATACAGTGGGTATAAAATTCATGAAAACTTATCTGCCTTAAAAGTGATTTTATACACACACACACACACACACACACACACACACACACACACACACACAAATTAACCCTAACAATATGAAAGTTCTTCATTCTTTGAGACTTGCTGATTTGTAGCCAAGGTGGTAAGAGCCTGTGGCTCTCTTGAATTATTAACATATTGCTTTGTTCCTGATTAACTCATTAAAACAATTTCCCAGTCACAGGTGCACCCCTTTTACCTTGCAGCTGTGCTCCCTCACTAGGGACTCTTTTCCCTCCCTCAGGCACCGAGCCTTCCTGCTTTGGTGGGATTTCCACAGTTCCATAGTCCCTTCCAGGAATGAGAAGGGCTTCTAAATGACCCTAAGATGGAACAACAGACAGCAGTTTGGATGACAAGACATCCCCCTGGGCTTCACAGAGAGCAAGATGGGTGTGATAGTCGGTCTTGTGCTAGGACCAGGATACAAGAAGGTTCTGGTCTCTGTCTGGAGCTTTAAACTTGGAACTTGAAACTTATCTGGGATTCCTTTATTAACTCTGTCCTTGGGGTTCAGGGACACACCGCTCAGAGCTCCAAAGCTGTGTGACATTGCTTGCCCTTCCCCCAGTGTGGTCCTTGAACCTGACTCCCAGTTGAAGGCCTGCCTTTAGATCCTCAGAGACAACCCTTCCTCTTTTGTATCTCTCTGGACCCTAGAAATGATCCCATTGAAGACTGGAGTTCAACCTTCCGGCAAGTAGCAGAGCGGATGCAGAAAATGCAAGAGAAACAGGAAGCTTTTGTGCTCAACCCTGCAGTTGGGGTAGGGCTGTTCTCTCTTCTCCCTACCCTTGCCCAGGCATCTGGGAATTGCTTGGCACTTGCTTAGATCCTCTGACTTAGGTTCTGTTTATCAAGTAAACTCCCAAAGCAGTTGTGTCAACTAACAGGTCTTAAATGAAATCCTATTTTCTCACTTATTTGTCACCTTAGGTGTTTCATCTTCATTCCGACTCTGTCTCTCCAATCAGTAGTCATTAAACGCTTCAGTGATTGAGGGCAGTTTCTGTTTAAAGGAGTTTTTCCCCATTAGTTTATGGACAGCCTTAACTAATCATTGTAATAGCTCATTTGATGTCTTTTATATACAGTATTGAATTTCAGAATTGGACTGTGGGAAGATGAGGCAAGAGGATCACGAGTTCAAGCTTGGATTTGACGTAGAGAGACATTGTTTCAGAATAACAAATAAAAAGGGCTGGAGATGTAGCTCAGTGTAAGAGCCTTGTATTCAATCTCCAGTACTAGAAAAAAATAAGATGTACTTTGTTGTGTTTCTTTGTACCCCCACTTCTCAATGGGGTGGGCCTTCTTAGTCTTGGAGGTTCTTGCTCAAGTTTTTTTTTTTTTGGTCTTTTTGAATTTTTAAAATTTTATTTATTGATACATGGTCTCATTACATAGTTCAATTCAGGCTGGTAATGGTCCTCTTGTCTCAGTCTCCCCAGTGCTGGGATTATAGACCTGTGTCACCATTGGGCCAGCACTGTGTACGCCACCACGCCAGGACTCTTGCTGGCTCAGCGCCCCTGAGGGTGGAGCCGGCGTGGCCATGTTGTGCCTGGAATCGAACCCTGGTCCCTGCACTTGCCTAAGCTGGCACCTAATCTGCTGTGCTATCTCGCTAGCTCCCAGTCTTGTTTTCTTGATCATTGCTTTTCTTTTTCTTTTTGCTGTCATCTTTGGTTCACTGAGATGTGAATCTGCCACTGTACTTCATCTTCTGGAGTCTGTTAAAGCATACAGAATGCACTTTGTCTGGGTTGATAAAATATTGTACTGGGGGAAGTGAGTAGAAAGTTCTTACAAAGAAAAGCACTGTGAAAAACCCTTAATCCAGCTAACAGGAGACCCAAGCACTTGCTCCCAGAGAGGCCTAAATGCATGCTAGGGGTGACCAGAGGTGACTTCTTCCTTCTCTCTTCTCCCCTCAGTTACGATCACTCAGCTCAGTATCTCACCTCACAGCACAATGGGCGGAGGGGACACCAGGGTTCCTAATTAGAGTATGTGCCTGGGGTCACTAACCAGGGCTCACTGACAGAGCTTATGCCCAGGGATCAATAACTGGTAGACTCTAAGATTGTCCTCTCCATTCCCACCCCTGTGTCCTACTTCCTCAGCCTGAGGGTCTCAGCGGCTCTTCCCGAATGAAAGGTGGAAGTGCCACCAAGATCCTACTGGAAACCCTGTTATTGGCAGCCCACAAGACGGTGGACCGGGGCATTGCAGCATCTGAAAGGTAGGGAGGGAGGCTCCAGACCAGAGAAAGCCAGAGTCAGACAGTGACAGGGTGAGGTGAATGGGGGTGGCAGGTCCGGATCTGGAAGCTAGCTAGCTTTGGAGAGTTGGCCTTGGAATGGGTCAGGTTGCTCAGGCCAGGGTGTGTTCTGCCGTGCCCTCCTTTCCTGACCAGGGTCTCCAACATGCCTTCCGTGCTGCTCCCTGACATCAGCCACCTTCAACTCGCATTCCCCCATAAAACTCTCTTGATGCCTTGCTTCCTCTTTCTGCATTTCAGATTTCCGCCCCCTCCCCCAAGCCCTATCTGCACCCCCACCCTCAGTGTAGGGTGCTCCCCGGTGCAGTCTGACTCTCCTTAGAACTTAGTTTTACGGGAGCTGTGCCTTCCCCTGTCTCCCCCTTCTGAGGGAGCTGGCAATTTCTCTCCCAGATGTCTTCTGGACGTACTTCGGACCTTTGAGCGGGCTCATAAGGTGACCTACAGTCAGAGCTCCAAGATTGCCACTCTGATGAAGCAAGTCAGCACCAGGTACCTGGATATGTATTTGAAGGGGGTGCCTGAGAGCAGAGAGAACTCTTGTGAGACATGTTAGCATGGCAAAAGTAATGGGTCACGGTGCTGGAGGGGCGTGGTTGGCTTCTCGTTTGTTTACCCTTATGTTCTTCCATCTGTATCTCTGGCTTCCTTTTGTGGCGATCACTTATGTCCTGACCTCTGGCCCGTCCTCAGCCTGGAGAAGAAAGGCCGAGTGCACTTGGTTGGCTGGCAGACGCTGGGCATCATTGCCATCATGGATGGAGTGGAGTGTATCCATAACTTTGGTGCTGGTGTGATCCCAGTCTGCACATTCCTCCTGAGCCCACCTGATCCCAAACAATTTGGTCTACTGTCCAAACCCTCTGCTGCCTACCCACAGAGATTCCTAAATGTCCATTCTGCCCTACCTAATAGGCATCTCAGTCAAATGTTTCTTCCTTTGGCTCCCACCTCAGTCCATGATCCCTCTGTTCCTACCCCACTGCATATGGGATATCTCTCACCTCATATCCCACTTTCCATGTCCCTCCCAGCCCCACTGGCAGCCCCCAAAGCCTAGAACTTTCCTTTCCTGTAAAGCCCATTGCTTCTCTTTCCCTGTCTTGAAATTTCCCAGATTTCCGAGACATTCGTGGCTTTCTCATTGGTGATCACAGTGACATGTTTAACCAGAAGGCTGAGCTCATCAATCAGGTTGGAGGATGGGCTTGGGGAAGATGTGAGGGTCACTACTGTGCAGAGGGCGGGGACATTCAGTACTGGAGGTGGAACCTGTGTGCTCTACCACTAAGCTACATCCCCATTACTTTTTTTTTTTTGAGATAGGATCTCACTAAATTATGTAGGCTAGCCTTGAACTTGTGATACTCTTGCCTCAGTTTCTTACATAGCTAGGATGGCAGACATATACCATCATGCTCAGTTTAAAACTCTCTCTTCAATCCCTGGTTCCACAAAAAAACAAAAACAAAAAACCACAAAAAACAAAAAAACAAAAAAAACCTCTCTCTCTCTTCCTCTCCCTGTCCCTTTCCCTCTCCCTCTCCCTCTCCCTCTCCATCTCCCCCTACCTACCTATCTATCTGATGGTAAGTGGTACTGAAGATTGAACCCAGGACCTTTTTGAGATAGGATCTCACTAAGTTGCTAAATTGCCCAGGCTGAGCTCAACTTGCAGTCCTACCTCAGCCTTCCAGATGCTGCTGGGATTACAGGAATGTGCTAACATGCCTGGCTAAAACACCACCTTTTAAACTGATTGTTTTTCATTGGTAGTCAAAGGACTGCACTAAATGTCCTCTTTCGTCTGCAAGCCTGGACTCTAGAGTGTTCTCATGGAAGGGTCTCTCCATCTTCTGCTCCAGGGTCCACAGTTTACCTTCTCCCAGGAAGACTTCCTGACTTCTATCCTGCCCTCCCTCACAGAAATTGACACTGTCATCTTCATTTTCACCTTGGATGGTGAGAGGAAAGATGGGCATGGGGGTGGTATGAGGAGCTGGACGGAGTAGAGTAACCCAGAGAAGCTGCCATTTTTCTGGTTCTTGGGACACTGGCTCAGAGGGAGGCACCGGTGTGAGTCTGTTGATCCAGGCTGGCAGGAAGGACATCTGCACAGCCTACCTTTCAGCACCACCCATCCTGCAGACAACCTCACAGAAGTGCAGACGCTGGTGGAGCAGGTGAAGGAGAAGACCAGCAATATCCAGGCCCTGACGCACAGCACAGTGGGGCAGTCACTGCCGGTGAGGATCCAGCCTTAAAAGGGGTTGGGGGGGCTGGTGAGATGGCTCAGTGGTCTAAAGCACCTACTTAGAACAAGCTTAGCAAAGCACAGGGACCGCGGTTCAATCCCCCAGCACCACGTGCCAGCCAGCCCCGCCCCCTGGTGGGCTGAGCTGGCCACACACACACACACACACACACACACACAAATAAATAAATAAAATAAATAAATTAAAAAAAAAAGGGGGGGGGGTTGGGGCAGAGGGCAGTCACAGCCTGGCCTTCTTGGACATGTCGCTGTGGGCCCTGTTTCTCTTTAGGCCCCTCTGAAGAAGTTCTTTCCCTCCATCATCAATATCATGTGGCCACTGCTTTTCTTCGAATATGAAGGGAACTTCGTGCAGGTATGGAGAATGGGAGGGTGACATCTGCTGTGAGGGGCTGAGAAGTAGGAGCTCCCAGAAATTAGAAAACTGAAGGCTGGAAGGAAGAAAGCATGAAGGTTTCATTTCTCTGCCCCCATCAAGCCAGTAGGGTAAATTCTTGAGTTACCTGGTCACTAGGTTGTTTCCAAGACAACGGCTGCTGGGTATAGCTTGCTCTAAGAATATGCAAAAAGTCAGATGGGCAGCCAGTCACTTAACAGATGCCCACTTACCCTTTGGGACAAGTTAACTGTCAAGAGTATAGTCATTACTATTGTAAAGTTTATAAGACATTTTTTGGCAAGTTACACTATGCTGAATTCACTGATATATAGTCCCTGCTTGACCATGAAATTATAATCCAGGATAAACACTTATACGAATCATAGAAATCATAGTCAGTTTGTGTGCACTTTGCAATTTACTTTGGAGCAGGAATCAGGAAATCTGTGTTCTGGGCCAGCTCTGCTACGTGGTCCCCACAAAAAAAAAAATCTATGTCTGAGCTTTGATATTCTCACATACCACCTGCCCATGGGCAGAACCAGGGCCCCATGAAGGGTTGCCTGGAAGAGACGTGGTCTCTAATTTGTTCAAATTGCTTCTTTTAGCAAGCTTCCTGACTAACCAGATGGTTCACAGGCCACCTCAATAGACTCAGAATGCTTAAGGAAACTTCTCTTGCCGAAGCAGGAGATCTGCTATCCTTCTAATGCACATCTTTGTCTTCCCTTCGAAATGATGCTCATTGTCAAAACCTACTTCTTGGCATGCTCCCACATACATTGACCTGTAAAAACCTCATGTCACCTTGGCCCTCCTTCATGTCACATACTTCTCCTAACTGTCTCAATGCCCAGTATCAAACGCAGTCTCAGCGCCGCTGGTGGGGCCGGTAGGGCACGCCAGGAATTGAGGATCAAATCCTGGTCCCTGCACCTGCCTAAGCAGGCGCTTTAGTCTGCTGAGCTGTCTGGCCTAAGGTTGAGGGATTTTGATCACAGCCATACAGCTAAGAAAAGAAGTAGGACTTAAACTCAAGTGCTGTGACTAAAAGTATGTGGTTTATTTTGCTATAGAAAAGAAATTTCAATCACACCTGATATTTAAGATATTCTTTCATTCATCCGTTTAAGAAATATTCAGCATCTATCACAAGGGACAAGGGATATAGTAGGGAATAGCGGGAATAGTAATCTATGATCTTTTACTTTACTTTTTTTTTTTCAGTACCAGGGACTGAACTCAGGACCCTGTACTTGCCAGAAAGGCGCTTATTCTACAAAGCTATTCCCCCAGCCCTTTTCTTTTAAAGAAAAATGTTCTTGTAACAGTAATAAAACCTTATTGCAAAAACTTTAGAAAATAAAGAAACACAATCCAAGTGTAGTGGCTCATGCCTGTAATTCCAGCACTCAGGGAGGCTGAGGCAGGAGGATTACCATGAGTTTGAGGCCAGCCTGGGCTGCAGATTATTTCAAGGCCAGATTGAAATATATCACAGGACCCAGTCTCAAGAAAGAAAGAAGGCAGAGCTGGGGAGATGGCTCAGTGGAATAAGTGCTTCCCTGGTAAGCGCAAGGACCTGAGTTCAATCCCTGGTTTTGTGAAAAAAAAAAAAAAAAAAAAGACTAGGAAATGTTGGTCAGCAACCCACTCACAGTTGCATTAAAAAAAAAAAAAAAAAAAAAAAAAGAAAAAAGGAAAAAATGGAAAAGGAAAATATAGGACTGTATTTGACATGCTGTTTTTGTTTTTCTTTTTATCTTTTTACTATGTAATTCAGGCTGGTCTTAAACTCAATTTTTAGCCCAAGCTGGCCTCGAACTCAGAGTGATCCTCTTGCCTCAGCCTCCTGAGTGCTAGGATTACAGGCATGCGTCACAATGCCTGGCAATTGACATGCTATTTTTACATTGCTTTTCTTTATTTAAAATTATGAGTGGGCCAAGGATATAGCTCAGTGCCATAGAGCCTGCCTGGCAAATGCAAAATCCTGAGTTAGAGTACCGCACCACACACAAAAAGATATACCATAAAATTATGAACATCTTGGGGGCTGGGGAGATGGCTCAGTAGAATAAGCGCTTCTCTGGCAAGCGCCAGGGTCTGAGTTCAATCCTGGGTTCTGAAAAAAAAAATTATGAACATCTTTATTAATACACTTGTGACATCATTTTTAATGTCAATACAGCTTTTCACTGTATGGCTGTATCACCATGTGTTTGACCCTAACTGGCAGACATGGAGTCACTTAAAATATTATGATTTTTTCAGAATGCTCCTAGATAATCTTTTTTTTGTTTGTTTGTGTTTTTGAGACAGGCTGGTCTCAAACTCTCAAAGATCCTCCTGCTTTAGCCTCCCGAATGTTGGGATTACAGGTGTGTGCACCCATGTCCTGCGCTTTCAACTTCTTTCCCCCCCAGATAATCTTGATACACACACCTTTTCGGCATTTGACAAGTTCACTAAGATAAGTGCCCCAAAGCAGAATCACTGGTCAAAGGGTATGTAAAGTTATACAGCTTTTAACCAATATAGTCAAGCTGGGTGTCATGGCGCATGCCTGTAATCCCAGCACTTGGGAGTCTGAGGCAGAAGGATTGTTGCAAGTTCTAGACCAACCTGGGCTGCAAAGTGAGCTCCAGGGAGCCTGAACTGCATAGCAAGACCCTGTCTCAAAAAGATAAAAACAAACAAACAAACAAACAAACAAACAAAAAAATACATGGTCTAATTGACCTCTAAGGAGGTTTATAAACAAAGTGAAATTTCTTGTTCTGTCACAAATCTTTGCTAATCTTCAATTCTTTAACCTTTGCTAATCACCAAAGCTACAAACCAAACAAAAAGCTTTTTGGTATTGTTTTAATTTATATTTCCTTAGTTACTTTGGAAATTTATTGACTAAAATATGTTATTAGCCGTATGATTTTTTTCTTTCATGTATTTTTTCTTTATGCTTTTTGTTTATTTGTTTTTTGCAGCACCGGGGATTGAACTGAGGATCCTTCACTTGTGAGGCAGGCGCTTATTCTACTGAGCTATCTCTCTGGCCCACTTTTTTTATACATTGACTTCCTTTTTTTTTATTTTTTTATTTTTTTATTTTTGACTTCCTTTTTAAAAAGAGGCATGAGAAAGATTTAGAGGAAGATAAAGGGTGCATTCAAGAGTAGAGTGTTTTCCTTATCCATTCTTTTGGGAGGAGCATTTATTTTCTTTCTCATTTTAAGAGATGTATAGAGAAAAAAAGCGCCCCTTTTTCTTTTTGCTTTATATTTTAACTTGTTTATTATTTTCTTCTTATGTTTTTTTATGTAGCAACATGTAGGGCACTCAAGCGTATCACTCTTTTTTGTTTTATTTTTCGTACTGGGAATTGAACACAGGACCTCACACTTTCTAGGCAAGCGCTGTGCCACTAAGTTCCATCTCTGCCCAACATGTCAGTCTTTTTGTTGGTGTTTTTTATCTTTCACTTGATGCTGGTCTCATCTTTCTAAATGGATTAATACTTTCAGAAAGAAAATGGTTCCCATTAGGGTTCATAAATCCTTAGTTGTAGATTGTGTGTGTGTGTGCGTGCGTGCACATGCATACGTGTGTGTGCGCATGTGTGTGTGTGCGCGCGTGTGTGCAGGTGTTACTGGAGATTGAACCTGGGCCCTTACTGCTAAGCTACACCCTCAGCTCTCCCCACCCCCTTATTTTGAGACAGATTCTCACTAGATCACTAAATTGCCCGGATTGGACTCAAATTTGTGATCCTTCTTCCTCAGCCTCTGAAGTTGCTGGGATTATAGGTGTGTGTCACCACACCAAGCTTATAGAAATATTTTTGATATAAACTACCCTACATTTTTATTTTTAAAATTTTCAAATCTAAAAAATTGCAAGACTAGTACAAAGAACACCCATATGCTTTTCCCAAGATTTAGCAACCCTTTTTGCCTGTTTTCTTTCTTTTCCTGAATCATTTGAAAGAGAACAGGAAATACCATAACACTTCACACAAATTACTTTGGAATGTGTCCCCCAAGAACAAGGACAGTTCCCTATATGACTACAATGTAATTATCCACTCAAGAAAAAGGTAGTTAGTATAATATCAGTATGTTCAAACCACATTTAGATTTTCCCAATTATCTCCCTGGAATGTTTTTATTTTCAGAATCCACGATGATGCATTCCATTTAGTTGTTGGGTCTCTTTGCTTTAATTAACATTATGCAATGTTCTTTTTTCGTTCTTTCTGTTTTTCTTTCTTTTTTGTTTATCTGACATTGATGTTTGAGAGGTCTAGGTAAATTATTTTTTAAGAATATGCCTCACTCGGACCCTCTCCCGCCCCCTCGGGCTGCCCCCCACCCCTCCCGCCGAGTAGGAATTTCTGCCGACTTCCGGGAACCCCCAGACCCAGTCCTAGCCCAGGTCGGGAGAGTGTGTGGAGAGCTTCCTGCTACCCTGCGCCGG